CTCAACAGCCTAACCGCAGAGCAGGGATCTTCCATCTGCTCTCTCACGGTTACCGGCCCCTCGTCATCTGTAGGATCTTGCCTCCGAACTGCCATTCGCTGTCACTGCCAAAATATAGCTCATTGGTATTTGTAACGTTTTTGTCATAAATTCTCTTCTCTTTCTCTCCACCACTTTTCCTTACCCTCACCGACAGATACAGGGCTTTCAGGTGGGCTTTTGTGTTTGCAGAGACTAATTTGCCTAGTCTCAAATCCACCCCAGTGGTCCTTACTGTTGTTACACTCCTTGCATCCTTCCAGACAACTCGTCTCCTTGGGGCTTCAAACACTTGTAGACATTTATCCCTTTCTAGCTGTCATTAGGCCAAGTCATGCATATTCACATCTTTTAATCTTTTTTTTCTCACATCAGTTCCTTCAGTCTTTTAATCATTTGTGTTGCTCTTCTCTAAATTACCTCCAATTTGTCTATGCATCTCTGGTTCTCAGGCACCATGAAGATGCTGTTTAGACAAATCTGCCTCTGAGGACACAAGTTCATAGAAGGCTTGTTAATGCCTTTATGGTGGAGACATTTCATTTTGCTGCTGGACACTGATTTTAAACAGGGTTTATAACAGGGCACACAATTATATCCTTGCAGAGTGCAACAAAAGGTGACTGCCATTCAGCTGAGCCTCATCGCTGCAATACCTGCCTCTCTTCCCACTCTTCCAGGCAACTTGTTGAAATGTTTGTCTTCTCCTCACTTCTTGTCCCTCCTAAGGGTGAGAGGGAAGCTTCATGCAACTGGATGTCTTGTTTTCCCAGGCTTCCTGTTATTAATAAACATGCTTTTTATGTCAGAAAAGAGATACAACTTTGGACTTGGAGCAGAAGGTGGCAAAGTTTCCAATGAGTTTTGGTATGTCCATGCTCTGGGCAGGCAGCAAATTGCTGCATGTCCAACAGCTTCACATCTTCTCCATCCCATGGTGACACTGGCCATGACTGCAGCTCTGTGCAGCTCCAGCAGTCGTTAGTACCAGCAGACAATATGGCTCTTTATCCAGCGGATCCTCTCAACAGCCCACGTGGGAGGCATCACTTCCCTCCAGCTTATAGTGTAAGAAATGGGGGCAGAAAGGCGAAACAACCTGCCCAAGGCCATGCTGAGAGCTGGGGGATGAGGTCAGGTGAAGCTCAGGTGAAGACTGCTTAAGGCCTGGCAGAAATCTTTGCTTGTTTGGATGGCTCGGACCGTGCTGGTTTCCAGACAGTAAAGCCTCCATTATACAATATATTTTTTGCATGAGTTCACCAGAGTTGTAATAAGCTTATCAAGGGGATAACTCTTAGGATAAACCCTACAATCTTGTCCATCAGTCAGGAAGAGAAATAAATAGAAAAAACCCAGTAAATTCAGCTTTTTCAGATGTGTCAGTCGGCTGCAGGCTTTCCACTCAGTGACAAGCAATCAAGAGGATTCCTACAACCAGAGCTCTGTGTCCGCTGGTACAGGAAATTACCTACTCCAGACCTCGTATCACAGGCTGCTGCTTTTGGTTAGACTGATTTGATGCAACTGCACCACCAGCAGCACTAAAATAGCTCCGTAGATGTTACCATACGAGCCGGCGCACTGCTCCAACGCGCTGGATACAGTTATTTACCAAATCGTAGCTTAACACATATGTTATTCTCTGAACTGCCTCTTTGTCTTATGTAGATGGATCAGTAACCTTTAAAGCACTATTATTCTCTCTTTGTAACAAGGCTCGGCTGTTGTGTTTTTGTAATGCCGCAGAGCACTTTTATAAGCACTGTAAGACGTCGTATGAGTGCAATTTGTGCAATTTGCGAAATTAAAAGTCAGCCAGAGCACAGCTTTTCAACCTGCCTTGCAAGCAAATCCTGCGTTCCTTCCCTGCCACTGCCCTCCAGCCTGGCGGGGAAAGAATTAACGAAAGCAGAAAGAATTAGATACCCAAAGAAGAGCTTTTAGAAAGGCAGAGAAGAGCTGGAAAATAACAAACTCAACACCCTTGCAGGAGAACGGGAGGCTCAGCTGAAAAATCTCCTGCCCAGAGGCTCTCAGAAAGGGATCCGGACAGAAGGGGAGGCAGCGATGGGCAGGTTGTCAGAGCTGCGGTATGGGGAACACAAGTGGAGAGATTTACTGTCCCTAGGCGTACGCTTGCACTCCAGAGTGACACGAAACCATTAAAGCAGAAGGGGTTTTGGAGGGCTGCAGCTGACCTGGGGGCAAAGGGTGCTGATTTAGAGAGAAGGCTCCTTCTCCAGTCTCCTCTTCAGGGATGTCTCTGCTGAGCTTGGCCAGGGAAGATGGACATGCAGGTGAGATAAGGAGCACAGACTTTTGCCTGTTTGTGCCAGACATCCACCTTTGGGAGAATCACTGACTCGGTTCTCGAAGAAGTTGCCAAAGAGGCATTTTAATTGTCTGCTGTTGAAGCTATTGAAAATGAAAACGTGATGATAGAGCCTGTCCTGTCAGGCAAAGGTAGATAGGGACAGGGGAGATGTAGAGAAAGTGTGGGCCCTGGAAATCCAGGCCCTGAAAGATTCAACTGCCAGGACTGCCTTTGGGATAGGGAAATAAAACCAAACCGGTCACCTGAGGAGTACAGCAGAGCAGAAGCAATGGCTTACCTGGTTAGTTATGTTTGGGGCTGTTGCAAATCATGGTTAAAACCTCTCCAACAACCCTCCCAACAGATACCACCGACCGGGTGCAGAAGCAACAATTCTGTTGCTGCACTGATGTCCTCCATGTGCGGCTTCCCCATTCCAAAGAGTCTAAAAAGAGCTGAGTGAATCTCAGCAAACTGTGAATAAAGTAAAATATCCACGCACAGCTCCTGCAAGAAAATCCACCCCACATTTGCTATTGCCATGGTCACCCAGCTCTGCAAAGCTCTGAGCAGCCTGTGCATCTCACAGGAGTTCAGGAACCTCCCAGCATGGTGGGCCTTGCTGCACACCAAGCACAAATTTTCACTCATCATCTTTATCAGAAATAAGATTATTTAGGTCTATCTTCCTTCCTATCCACCATCAGAGCTATTTGTTCCTGGGCTCTGAAAATACAGAAGTCATTATTGTAAAGATGGTACTTTTCATGGTAATTATGAGTTCCTACTTTTAGAAAATAAGTACCTATTTAACTAAGAGCTTTATAAGAGATCAAGCAGAGCACAGAGTACAAAAAAAGTGAGAGCTATGATACAAAGAAACTAGTTTAGTGGTAGAATTGGGCATGAAAACAGTTATCTGTTTGGTATCTTTAATATTAATTTATTCAAGACCCTCATTTCTGGACAAATACAAATTAAAAATTAAAAGCCCTTGTAAAGTAATGCATGAAACCAAAGCACCACAGAGAAATTTGGAGAAGCAAAGAAAACTGTAATCGTAAACAACAAAGGCACTGCAGAACCAGGACAGAGGGGAAGGAAACTTGGAAATAAAAAACCCCAGGAAACCAACCCAATCGCAACACGAAAGGAAGAGAGGAGGAGATGGTGGTGGTGGCAGTGGCGAGAGGGGGGCAAGAAAACCCACCACTTAAAAAAATAAATTCATAACATCACCGCAGCAGGGCGCAGAAGGAAATATTTAAACCAGCAATTTTGAAAACGTAACCCAGACCACCTGGTGAGTGACACCTTCTGTTTGCAGCAGGCAAACAGGCTCCTGCTGCAGCACTCCCGTACTCTGGCCCCTGGGAATAATCCCTGAGGTTGCATTAGGTTCAGAGCTCAGAGCTGCACAGAGCTGACTGCTATCATCAAACTTTAAGGGAAGAGTGAAATACTCTGTAAAACAGGGTGTTTTTCAAGGCCAGTGAGAGGAGCCCGTTTCAGTAAATGAATGATATTGTGTAAATGTTTCAGGCAGTAATAATCTTGGGCAATACTAAATGGAATCCCTGGCATGTACAGGACATGGACGAGAATTGCAATTTCTCCCACTTTCCAGGTGAGGGACAGAGATACAGCTGCTCCGGATCACATCCAGTGATGTAGTTAATATCCCATTGCACATTTAGGTGTTTGAATTCCCATTTAAATCAAGAAGGTACAGCCTTCCATGAGGTGAGATGGCATCGAGAATGTGTGGCCAAGTGTTTCCCTAAGTACCAGTCTGGTCCCTATGCAACTGGACTGTCCTCCTTAAACTAGCAACTTTGACTTCCAAAGGAGGGGAAAAGGGGAAAAAACTCTTCCCCTTCTGGGGGCTATGGGGAGAACTGGCCTCCAAAATGAGAGATTTGCAGTTCAGACCACCACAATTCACTACCCACAACAGCTGACTTGCAAGGCTGCACCTGCCAGTGGCAGGTTTTTAAGTATCAGCAGGGAAATCTTCTGGTCCTAAGGACAATCATCAGCCTCCAAACAGTCATTGCTTCTAGCATTTATCTGGAGACAGTGCTGAGCAAACTAATACTCTTAGTTTCTTGAGTCAAGAGCAGACTGCATAGCTCAGATGGTTGAGGAAAGGCTAACTCTAATAAATATATAATACCCAAGGGGTTATCTAAGCAGCCAATAAAGATACAGAATCTTTTTTTTATGTACTGAAGTTACACTCATTCAGTATGTGATATCAAAAGAAATATAGATTTTCTGACAGATTTTTATTTCCCACTGTTACTAAAACGCATCCCCTTCTTAAAGCAGCATCTCATACAACTCTAATCCTTCCCGATTTACCTCCAACCAAGCCTGCAGCCAACAACTCAAGGCCTTCGCTTTGTACCATGCATGTCACAACCGAGATTGTGATTCTAAATGACCAGATATGGGGATCAGATTTTGAAATCACATACACTTTGTGCATAGCCTGCATTCCCTTTCTCTCTTTTTTTAAATCTTAACTGCCCATCCCATCTCCTACGCACCCTCATGCTTAAAATTGCATGGGGACAGTTTCTATTTTAAAAGAGGCATTCATGGGAACGGAACAGAGTGAGGCTGCTGAGATTATTTTTACCTGAGCTCTGATTGCAGTGTCCTTCTTAATCCACTTTATCACTGTTTCATACACCAACTCCTCCGCTTTGGTGTTCAGGCTGTCATTGGACATGTAGGAAATGAAGTCGTCTTTTGAGATATTAAGGATCTCTTCTTGGTTTGCCACCTCTGGAAAAATCTGCAGGGCGTACGCTTTGGCCATGTTGTATAGTTCAGTGCACTGCATGGCTTCAGCCATGGCTAATATTCCTAAGCAGTTGCTAGCAGTCAGCTGTTTTTCTAAAAGGAGTAAAATAAAAAAAATAAAAAAAAAGGAAGTGAGAATAATTAAAAGCAAGATTCACATTTTTACTGAGATCATGAAAAAAAGAAGTGCCATGGACAAACTTCCAGCCCTAATTAATTTCCGGGAGTTAATTACAAGCAGCACCCTGGGTTACTTTAGGATTGGGGCTTAAAGTACAAAATCAAAGTCTGTTCAACAACTGAGCTGGGGATGAGGAGAGAAATGCACTGAGTTTGCTTTCCGTGTAAGCCTTCACACGGCACTGGGGGAACCTACTGACATAATAGTATCCGGGGCTTCCCGAGGGACGGGAACCCAGCCAAGAGACGGCTGCTATTTCTACCGCCTACAATGTTGCTTTAAGAAACAGCAAAGATGTAAACGCCAGTGCAGACACTTCAGAATAAATGCAAACAGCACTAAGGACATTTCTGAGGATGCTGCAGTCGCTTTATGATAATTTTTGCCCTGTTCAGCTACTAAGCTACTTCAAATAAAACAAAAATCCTCCCCTCCCTTTTTTTTTCAAAGGAACTTTGTTGCTGCTGAATGTGATGACATCCTTTATGCAAAACACAGATTACACTAACGCCTTCTGTTAAACGTTGTGTAGTGGGTTTCAAAGAAAATCATGCACAGAGGAGACAGCATTATCTCCTACCCGGCAAACAGAAGTAACAGCACAGTGTGTAGCTTTGCATTAAAAGTGTGCTACACCACACATCTGACTGTACTTTTTTTCCTTTTCAGCTCTTCTGAATAAAAAACCCACCAATTTCATACATCTATAAGAGGAACTCTCAGATTCTTCTCAGCTTTTGTTAACCAAACCACTACTAATAGGCAGAATATATTCTTTTAAGATATAGGACTAAGAAAAAAAAATAAATGAGAGAGAGACAGACTGCAATAGATCACAAAAGCACCGATACCAGCAGCAGGCTTCTGCGCACTCAGAGGAGAAGTATATCACGTTTGAGCAGTGTCATATCCTAGTGCACTATTTCAGAGCACTGGACAGGAATGTGCGATATCCCCACATCTCTTCAAACAAAACTCTCATCACATTGCTTCTGCTGGAAACGCTCGTGGATTTTTCCCTA